TCATACAATAACTGAGATATTCCGTAGGCAATACTTCCGTAGCCACCCGGTATATCTAAAGTTTTGACTTATATTATCAAGAATTCATTTCTATATGGAGTTTTTCCTGACAAATTGAAAATGACTGTAATTAAACCTGTTTACAAAAAAAAGGGTGACTTAAATGACATCCACAACTATCGGCCTATCAGCCTGTTATCTTCCTTCTCATAGCTATTCGAAACCTCAATGTGTGACCGTCTTATACAATTTATAGTGTCATGCGAGTTACTTAACAATGCTCAACATGGATACCGAAAAGAAATAAAATATACTGATACAGCTATTTTTGAGTTTGTTCAGTATGTTTTGAATTGTTTAGAGGAAAGAAATATTGCTTTAGGACTTTTCCTGGACCTTTCCAAAGCGTATGACTGCTTAGACCATACTATATTATTGAGTGAATTAGAAGCTTATGGGGTTCGAGGAAAGCCATTAGAATGGTTTGAATCATACCTTTCAGAAAGAAAAGAGAAAGTAGTGATACAGAAAATTAATGGAATTGGTGCATCGCAAATAAGTACTACTAATATAGGGGTACCCCAAGGTAGCATCACAGGTCCAATTCTTTTCAAAGTCTACCCTGCGACATTCTGACCTATCATCCTTGTAAAATGGTTGACTACGCAGACGACACTAACATTTTGATTTCTGTAGAAACATTACCTCCTCTTGAAAGAAACGCTAATTTGATTTTCAATAAGATCAGTCACTGGTTTGCAGAAAATAAACAATTTGTTAAGGAACATAAAACTAACACTGTCCTGTTTACTACTAGAATTTCTAGTCAAAACTTACCTAAAGACATTGTTAGTGAATAATCATAATGTTGAAATGGTACAGAGTACTGAACTTCAAAGTATGCACATTGATTGTTTGTTAAATTGGAATATCCATATACCTTTATTATCAAACAAACTTAGTAAAATATGTTATGCATTCAGAATACTTTCTAAATAATAATATGGTGATATAGGTATGCTAAAAGTTGTGTATCATGCCAATTTTGAATCCTGTTTCAGATATGGTGTTTTATTTTATGGAGGTAGTAGTGGGATAGAGCAAATCGACGTTTTACTATCAAAACCTCTAAGTCTGATTTTCAATGAAAATCATATTATGGTATAATCCAATGAAACATATCCTAATTCATCTCCTGTTGAAACCTCGTAACTCTAGATCCATCGTAGCGCAAACTATTGAGAAATTCATGAACCTCGTATGTCTACTCTGTGAAAAGTTCAACTTGAAACCTCGTATGTCTTCGAGTGTTCCATGCTTTTACTTTTGACAATAAACAACTCGAACTCAAAACGTCATATCACAACTTTTCTGGTCTTTTCAAGTGTTGGTGATTTGAAATGAATAATTTCGTGAATTCTACGGTAAGTTTAATTCGGCTTGATAGTTCGAATCCTATTTTGTTTCTCTCACATACCAGTTGAATACGTTTTGTTTTGTACCATCTCATCAAATTACTCTGGAGCTTCACGGTATCTGAACGGTGCGAGTAGTTCCTGTTAAGTTGGAATACATTTGATAGTACGATATTATCGATATCTCTTTTATACAGGGGGTGTAATTACATCATGAGGTTATAGGTTGACACGCCAAATGTATAATTAGTATCATTGAATATCATATTATAATCTCTCACCGAATATAGAATGAAATAAGTATAGGGTGTCTCATTCGGGAATACGTTCCTTTTTATGTTTATTCGAATATTCATATGTATACCTAAGAGAAATTTACATACCATACTCACATTAGGCGTTGTAAGCTATAGCCTACAGAGTATTCATTTTCATGGACTGAAAATTTTCTGATTTCAGGTTATTTCTGCTCGAACTAGAAACATTATTTCACGAGTGCAAAGTGGAATTCATTAATTGGGCTCGAATGGTTTTCTCGATCGAATTGAATCCGAAAAAGATGAATTGCTTTCTGATGGTGCTGCTCAACATGAGATAGATCCTGAAGCTGATGTTGAAAATGAGGTGGATGATGTATTTCTTGCTCAGATTAATGAAGACTTGAGAGATGAGGCTGTAGCTGATGAGGATGAAGGAACATCTGATATTCCAACACAGTTTGGATCTGAAGGAATGGCACTGCCTCCTGATAGTGAACAAGATGGGTTCGAAACTGAAGCTGAAATGGATGATGACATTGTTCCAGATCATGATATAGAAGAAATCGAAAACAATAATTCAACAGAAAAAGAGGAAGAGGAAAGCTGATATTACCAAATGGAAAATGAACAGGAACAAACATTTAAGAATGAAAGGACAAGAATATCAAGGTCTGAAGAAACATGATGATAAATGGCATTTTGATCAAACGAAAACAGCGAAGAAAATGGGACCCATTTGTAATTGCAAACACAGTTCCAAAGAAACCAAAATCAAATGTCTACTGTTCTCAGAGGAAGAGAAGCTGAGAATTTTCAATAGATTCTGGAATGATATGGATTGGAATCAGAGGAAAACCTACAACAATAGTCTCATTGATAGTTCAGCACCAAAAGATGAAAAGAATACCATGAACGCAGAATCATGCCGTGGAAAATCTTTGTTTTATCATCTCAACAAAGATGGAATCAGAGTGAGAGTATGCAAAAAATGTTCATTAACACTTTAGACATAGGCGAATGGTCAGCTATTAACTGGGCTACATCTCATTCAGAACAATTGATCAGTGAGAACATAAATGATGGAAAAACAACAGATAGTAGAAGAAAAAGCAAATTAACGGAGGACAAGAACACTCTTCTAGAGTTTTTTGGATCGCTCCCTAAACTAGAATCTCATTATTGCAGAGCATCCTCCAGCAGATTATACCTTGAACCGATCTGGCAATCGAAACTCTCATTGTATAAGGAATACTTGAGATACTTGGCCAAAAAAGTTCACTCAGCACAAAGAGATTCTATGAGGAATTCCAACAAAATAATCTGAGTTTATTCAGACCTAGAAAGGATCAGTGTGATGTTTGTGTATCATACAAGGCGAAAAATATTTCAGAAGAATCATATTCAGCTCATATGATTAGAAAAGATAGGGCTCGTCAAGAAAAAGAAAATGACAAAAACAATGAAAGTCATGTTCTGACTGTTGATATGCAAATCAGATCTTCTATGTCCTATGTTGAAAGCTTCATCAATTTATTATAAGAAAAAACTTGCTGTTCACAATTACACAATTTATGATCTCAAAACTAAGGATCGATTTTGCTTCTTATGACATGAAGGTGAAGGAGGTGTAAGTTCTAACGAATTTGCTACCTTACTGTGTAATTTCATTCAGTACAAATCAGGGATAAAATCCGAAAAAAAAGTGGTGATTTTTAGTGACGGTTGTGGATACCAAAACCGGAATGTCACCCTGACCAATGCATTACTATACCTATCAAAGAAAACTGGCATCACAATAGTGCAAAAGTATCTTGTTCCGGGTCACACTCAGATGGAGTGCGACAGTATGCATTCTGCGATAGAAAAGATACTCAGAAATCAGGAGATTCACACACCTGCCGGATTTTTATCAGCATGCAAGAAAGCACGAACATCGCCAAAGACTTATTCTGTGGAATATCTTTTTCACACTGATTTCAGAGATTTCAGTAAACTCAAGTATTTTACTTCCATTCGTCCTGGTTTCAAAGTAGGAGATGCTTCAGTTAACAATTTATGCGCCCTCAAATATACGCCTGATGGAATGCTATTCTTCAAAATAAACTTTGATGATGATTGGACCCAACTAATCAAAAGACATTCGGCAGCGGTCATGGGAACAGAGGATATCCCGTGTCTATACCGAGACTCGCTACCAATAAAAAAATCAAAATATGATCACTTACAGGATTTGAAGAAGGTGATTCCACATGATTTTCATCCATTTTACGATATCCTAAAATACCTATGAAAAGTTCATTAATATTTTGTTATCTTAAAGTTCTTAGTTAATTTAAACCTTGTAAGTTGAATTTCGATAAACATTTCAATATCAAAACCCAATTTTTGTGATGCCTGTTTGTTTCAATAACCTTTTACGAGTTCTGTAGATTTGTATAAGGTTATTTTTTTTTCAAATAAAGACTATTACTACTACTACTACTACTATAGCGAATGTATCTCCGCATAAGCTCGGGGTGAGTGATAATAAAGTTTTGGCTAGGGCTGTCTATTGTCTAGAAAATGATTTTGTTTTCTCTAGAAATATTGTTTTATCTGTTACCGTACATAGTTCCAATTTATTTTCCATCGGGGATTTTCCGTCTAATGATAACCTCGATTCTGAACAAAACAATCGTATGATAGATTTTCTAAATTAATTTCGACGTTGTTTTGTTCAAAATACTAGTGAACTGGGCAAAACGGACATCCTGAAGATGCAAATACATCTACACGACGATAGACCAGTAATTTATAGGCCATATTGTCTTTCGCACAATGAACGAAAAATTGTGCGAACTGTAGTAGATGATTTGCTTCAGAATAGAATTATAAGATAATCATACTCACCATACTCGAGCCCAATTTAACAAGTGAAGAAAAAAGAATAGTGAACCACGTATGTGTGTAGATCATAGAGCTTTGAATTCGAAGACAATAAAAGATAGGTTTCCACTTTCCCGTGTTGATGAATTTTTAGAGAAATTGAAAGATTGTAAGTATTTCACCAGATTCAAATGAATGAACAACTAGAAACGAGGAAACAAAATTGATTGAAAAAACTAAAATAAATTATTGTAATGTAACTTCAAACTCTGAGAGTTACTCCACACAAAAAATACCACTAAAAACTGAAAAACAAAATAACATTCGAATGCTGTGAACTAGAAGAACAAAAATAAATATCTCAAATACTGGAAACCTATTATCACAAGGATCATCACATTGTTTTTAATATATCAATGTATATCTCTTCTGGAGACTACTTCCACCAACTTCTCTAAGGCTACAACTTGTCTCTCAAGTAACTGCAGCTTTCGAGCATAATATTCTGTACTTCTAGTGTACTCTGACTAACTTCAGCAAGAGTTGATGCTGCAAGAGCACTAGTATGTAAACGCTGACTAGCCATAGTCCTTTTCGTTTTTGGGGTTTTAGCTGTTGTAGATATAGGAACAACATTTTCTTTTGCATATAAATGCTCATTCACAACAATTTCCGCTATTTCATCAGAAACTATTACTGCTGGACTTTGAGTGTCCACTGGTTGGTCTATAATTATTCCATCAGATGGAAATTCAAATTCTATGGGTGTTTCCTTTATATTGATATCACCCGTTATCGCTGTGGATGGTATGGTACTCAAAATTAGTTCATCTTCATCATCCAATTCATCGGGATGTGGAGGGCCACCTTCAGTACCTCTGGTATATTTCAATTGCTCTGACTTCTTCCTTTTGGTTTTAGACCTCAGGTCTTGCCAAGTCTGTAAAATGAAAATAGCATGTTATCTATCTGCTGCTAACATCTGAGGAATTATTACAATACCTTCTTCCACTGCTTCCAGTCCTTGGAGGCTCCTGGGGTGGAATTGAGAACTGAGGCGATATTCTGCCACTTACTTTTTGCGGAGAAAATTTGCCAGATAGAAGAGGCTTATTTTCTTTTTCTTTCATCAAATTAATCAACGTTTGTTTTTGATTCTGTGTGCAATAATTCTTTTTTTCGACGGTCATTGTATTCATTATTATTATTATTGTTTAATAACAAGAGTCAAGACCAAATCACATAGGCATAAAACATGAAGTATCTTCATATATAGGTGTTGCCAGCTCATCGTATTCGACAAAATTTGTCTCATGCGACTTTGATGTCGAAACCAATAGAGAATTCCACAATTCAGTGTTGTGCGATAATTTTTATCGACATATGTCGAATTCGACAAATTTCACTCGACATTCGAGAATCGACCCCCTGGTCTGTGGTGACGGATTGCTCAAATACCCTTGGTAGCGAACGTGTTAACAAACTTCCATGTTTGCGCATCTGGTTTACCACCTTGCTCAGCTCACGATATATTCGAAGGCGTTGTACAATATCACATGATGCTGGCATCAGATGATTCGATAAAGGAAAACTATTTCACATTAGGAATATTGAATAACAGATTCGACTTCCTAACGGTACGAGGCGCTGTCACACGCTTCCTTTTGTTCAAAGAAAAATGTGGAAAACTACCAGGATCAGCCACGAGAATTTGTTGATGTTACAATCTGAGCAGATTCACAGAACTAAATGCATTCATCAAGTTGTATGAGACTGCGCATGCTTCTGATGATTTCGGGCGGTTTAAATTTTGAGAACGAACAAACCTAATCTGAATCATAATTCAAAGAAACAACCCCTGAGTTCTAATAATAGTCAGTTCTAGGATTTCTAGAAAAATATGTATATATAAATATTCAGAATTTTGATATCTCAGAAAAAAATGTGGAATCGAATTTATTCCAAAATTTGACAGGAGCAATAGTAAAATACTTATTTGAATTCCATCATTCAATCATTATGAATTCTCCAGAGAGAATCGTCTTCCAGATTTGGAATGGTTTTCAAACAAAAAAAAAACAATTGCTATTTCAGATTCGGCAGATAGAGATTTGTATAAGACGTTGATACTGAAGGGTAAATTAATTCTTGAATATTACTCAGAGCAACCTTGAATTCACGCATCTTCGATTTCAGCATCAAAAAAACTTCAAATAGATCGTTCGCAACTTGTATTAGAAACAGACGGAACAGCAATAGATGAAAATGAAGCTGCCCATATTCTTCATTCCGAACTATTTATATTGCTTTAATGGAATGAGCATTGGACATTGATTATAAATTCTGCAGATAGTAGCATCAGTAATTCACATCAACTGTCACTCAAGCTTTAAGTGACACATTATTATAAAAAATTCACTGATAGTTCTCGACATGGAACAATTGAATGAAATGCCAGCACTGGCAACAACTCAGATGCCAACAGAGCAAAATCCGCAATCGGTTTTTAATCAAATTCCACATCAACAGTCGAATACTGCACAAACACGAATCTTGAACTCACCAGTCGTATCTGAAGATCTTTGGAGGACATCCGAGATTCCATGGGATAAGTTATCAAATCATATTTGGAGGGATATGAAGTCTGGTGAAAGAGGCAAGCATATTGAAGATGTGGGAAATGAGATCAATTAAGTTTATTGAGAAGTCCCCTGAGACATTTCAAGATATTGTCAACAATGGATCGAAAATATAATTCCATTGGGAATACTCGAAATTCCCATTTCATTCAAGAACAGTACAATAACCCAGTCTAGATCATATTCTTAGAATCATTTAGCTTACAGGAAATCAGTAGAGAATGACGATATTCAGAGGAAATTATAGTTTCAATTTCATTATTATTCAAGTAAAGTCACTGACGTGCAGAAACTACTGGTTTTGGATTTTTCCGATCGACGTGAATCGAGGTAAATACACTAGTTTTTATGCTGAATCAATTACCACTACCAAAACGGAAATGGAAATGTATTAGAGAAAAAAACGGCAGTTGTGGTTCGGACAGTGGACCGTAAAGTATAGTTTTTCAAATCGGCAAACAAAGAGTGAAACTCGAACATTTTTGCATTATGTCTAAACTTCGTGAGTGGCAGTTCCAATCATCCAACGAAAAGCGAGCCTACCTGTGAGTACGTTTTTCAATATTATTAGTTTCACTTTTCCTGCCTTGTTTTGGAAAATTGGTCAATTTATTTCATGCCCGAATTTGTTAAGTGGAATCAACTTCTTCAATTATTATTTTCATAAAACCTCTTGCAATGGGGTGAAACTTGGTGATGGAACGAGCACTTTACTTCTGAAGCTGAAGGATAGGAATAGCTATGAAAATATACTTGCCAAATGACGAAGTAATGTGAAAAAGGATAATGTACATACCTTAGAAAAAGAAGAGGATGAATGATATACAAATCAAAGATAAATCTCAAAAAGAAAATGGAAACCCAATCGAAGATACTATTATAGATACAGATATTTCTGAACTCATCGAAACATTTTCTATTTTGAGTGACGAGGAACTCCATTCCTTGTTAGGACAAAGAATCATTATAAAAGCAATGCACCCAATAGAGGAAATTCGCCGTATGTGGCCATGGTTGCTTCATGATAGAGTTTTATCTTGGCATTATGAAAAACTAATGGAACATGCTTCAGAGCAGATAGGGAGTCTCATTAATCTTAAAATTTACGGATTACTGAACTTTCTTCATCACAAGGAAATAATTCCGATGATTCCAGATGATACGGACATAGAGAAGTATATCGAGTTGTTGAAAGGCCTCAGCACAAATTCCAAACAAGTTTTTGAATATATATTGATGATTGAAGAACATAGAGATAAGTTTTTCATTTTCTTTACTCAATCAGCTGCTGTGAGATACAGGTTCAATTTTAGAGTCTGAATGGATTCGAAGAGGTCAGTTCTTAACGGCCATGCATCGTCTATGTCGAAGGTGGAGATGTGAGGAGAATTGATCTCTAGGATATGTGGAACAAAATACATAATTATATCATTATACCCTCCTACATGCATATATACCCAAAATATATATTTTTCTTCATTTAATATTTTACAGGTTTCTTTATTTCGTTTTACATCGAAATGAAATTATGGTATTAGAGTTATAATTTTCTACAACTCATGTATATGTTAACATCTACAATAATTTGCAATCGCGAAGAGTATGCAGACAAAAAAGGTTGAGTAATATTCAATGTAGTGCCACCCTGTTTCATATACTCCTGAATGAAATGTTGAAATAATTTTTTTATCACTGCATAGAAAGTTTAGTTCTTGTACCGTAATGCATCATCTCGAGGAGTCCCTTTTTGAAGCGCCGTAGCTTCCTTGAGTGCCCTTTTTCGAGTCATGTTTATTGAAACTTTTCTTCCTATTTCTTGAAGAAGCTTCTGGTGAAGTTTAGCAGGCTGATTGAGGGACACCCTGTCTATTTATATATACTGTGTGGCTTTTTATAGTCCTTCCCTATTATCTCTTCAACGTTTATTCTAACAACAATTTGAAAACATCGATCTGAATGATATCACCAATACTATATAATGGAATAAAAGACATCGCGATTGCTCCATGGATGACGCGGTGGGTTGAAAAACTCAAAAATAAAGGACATAAATATAGCACATGAACTCAAATGATATAAAGTTTTTTATAGTTTCGACCCCCAATCTACTTGAAATTTTCAAGTTGGTGAGCCCCCTGCATCATCTATCGAATAATCACAATGTCTTTCATTTCAGAAGGTAGGGTCGGTGATATTATTCAAAACTTTTATTCCAATTCTTGTACGTCGAACCGTTTGAAAGGTAACAGGAGGGGACTACAAAATGGCGCACTGTATATAAATTAGATGTGAAGTGAATGAATATTGCAGCACTGAATATTCCAGTAATGAAATGATAGTTTTTCTGTTTTTTGGAAAATATTATGTTGTCATAAAAAAAAATCCATATCGATGAAGGTACTCCACTATTCTCAGAGGCATTCAAACAATTTCATGCATCCTTCTTCGTATTCAACTTGAAATATCCAGAAAAGGCACCGTCCACTTTTGAAATGATTCAAAGATGAAAACCCACCCTAATGATGGGACGAAGGAATCAAATATTTCAAGAAAGAATAGTGATTTGATTTCTGAAGAGTTTCTTCAATTTTTTAACTATAACTTTCCCTCTTTCTATCGATAATTATGTATTGTACCGTTTGAGATATTCAAGAAACGGCACGACAAATAGGAGTGACGTCAGCTGCACACTACGCATTCCGATATTTTCACGGTGCCCTGTTACAGATTTATTAGCTAGGCCAAGACCGAAAGTAGAAGTACCGCTACTACGCGTTAGATGGGGTTGGTAAAATTAATTAAGTAGAATAGTGTTAAGGAGTTTTCTTTATTTGTTTGGTGAACGTGACAAAGTCAGAGATTTGTATTGATACAGATTCCATTAAATCATCTAGAAATAGTTGTGTAGCTACCGTTAGTGTCAGATCCAGAACAATTTCGGTACCATTGCTTCAGACAAGGAGAGTCCTGTGGAAAGAAGTAGGGTTCCAGTTACATAGTAGATTTGTTATTCATCATAATAAGGTTTCTTCATCGTCGTAGGTAGTCGTACCTGAAACAAAAATCATATTAATAGGGTGCATGGCATCTAGTACAATGGCACTCATCAGTGCTACTTACCTATTTTTTCAAAATCCTCAATGATGATGACGTAATGTCTTGTATGAAAGCAGTTTCCATTACACCTGGAATACTATTCGCTTAAAGGCTAATTTGACGCTGCTCAAAACAAAAGTTCTGTGCTTCTGATAGTTGTCATGTCAGATCTTAGGTGGCGTTAGGATGATAGGAGATGCGTTGAGCCTTGACTAGAAAGAGGGTGAGGGGTAAAAGGGCTGGTGAGGGAAAATGGCGGTGGAAGGCTAGCCATGTTTGTGAGTGTCAAAAAGAAGGTTTTTATCACCGTATATTCGGGATCTGTAAACAAAAACCAAATTTTTGGATGTCTTGATAGTAGTGGTTAATAGTAGAAAGTTGGGGCTTATTGATACTAGTAGTGATTCTTGGCCGGTTCTACAGCCTCTAAAGGTCATTTGAAGGGTAATTATCGCAATTACAATTCTAATTACCAGAGGCTAAGACCGACCAAGGTCGAAGGTACTTGTTCAATTGAATCAATGGAATAAGTCATATGACCATGAGTGTATTATGCTGAAATTGTATGTTATTGACGAATACTCATTATCCGAACTTGAAAGATAATTATATGAATACGTGTATGCGGTGATGCAAGGTGAAATCGTGGTTGATGGTGACCTTGAGATTACTTCAGGGTATACATTACAGAGATCGAATCCAGTTGCTAGGTATCCTAACTCCAGCTGTCGTGGTACCCCACTGACTAGAAAACGGTGTGTTTCATGCTAGATGGATAAGAGTGGGGGGTTGTTTCCATTTCCCATAAATCCCCTCTACTTTCAAGAGTATATAAAGGGCTAGAGCCATTCTAACTCATCATTCGATATCTTAAAATCCCTTAGAGTGGTTGTTGTGCTAGAATTGAAGTCAGCATCACCAAATCCTGTGTAATCTAAGTCGAGGTAAAATTATTTTACAATTATCGTATTATTCCAAAAATATTATCATTGAAATGTCTGTTGGAAAACTAGATCTAGAAAAAATCAATGAGATGATAAATCAAACATCACAAGAATTCCAAACTATTTCATTATCTTCATTGGCTGTGAACAAGAAATACCGCCTAGAGAAGGTCACTGTTCTATCTACGAGATATGGGCGATCTAGTTTATTGTTATTATCTGATGAGGGTAACAAATTCAAAACATGGTTACCAAAGCGAGTGACAGATCGATTGAGTGATGATATAGTCAATGAACTGAACTCCCCTGATAGTCAATTCAGCTTGAAATATTTGGGAGAGAGTTTACCTAGCTTCGCAGGGTCAAAAACACGATCTTTTATTGAATTCGTCTTAGATGAATAGTTTTGTCAAAATATCATTTTATTTCATATGACCATAGTGATAATAGTTGGGAATAATATATATTATATTGTGAAATATTTTCCTCTCAGATTATATACCTACCAATCTTTTATCATTGAAATAATCCCACTAATGTGAGTATGATAATTTCATCAGTATTATTATTATTATAACCTAAACTGTTTACGTTTTCAGTGATTTTGGTACTTTAATATGTGGATGCAATACTCTCGACAAGGATGGCCAGAAGCAACAGATATAAAATCAGCAATTGACCGACTAAGATGTGAGTTCGATGACCTTAGTTTTGATGCTCTACATTCCACCAACTATGATATGAATATTTGTTTTGATGACGATGCTATACAGAGATGTATGCGACTTCATGAAAAGTATAATGCTGGTTCCGGTATATGTAATAAATTCATATATGGAAGTATGAACTTGGTACAATTTTGTGAGCAACTTGTTGATGTTGACTTACGCGAATTCCTCTTCCAATTGGCACCACACTTACCGAAAGACATTTGTGAGGAATTCCATCTACATGAAGATAATGAAGAATGTACATAAAAGAATTGATTTATGTTATAATTATAATGAATAAAACAAATATGACTCATGAATCTGTTTTATTTCTGCAGAATATCAGGAATACATTATAATAAAAGAAGTATAAGTATAAAAAATTATTAGACTAACTTGATACATGATTCTATCATAGTTATTTATTTCAACTACCATACTTCATTTCCATCAGACAGATCCCGTTTGAACAGTGCCATCTAGGGCGCTGTATGTCATACATGCGTCATGTATGATTAATGCATATACTCTCGTATTTTCTGGAAACTTGGTTTTGCGAGTCTCGAATTCTAATTTTATGTCCACTGTAGAAGTCTTCATAGCATCCGGTTGATGACAGCAGTCAATGATGAATAGGGGGTTGTCACGAAACTCTCCGATGGTCATCATGGGCTCACTCATATCTTTATCATAATAGTTTCGCTGGAATTGTTCGTACGCATAGTAAGCTGGTGAGTAATAGTATATTACATAACAAGAGTTGTAAAACGCATATTACGCACGAAGTGGAGAGAGTTACACACGATGCCGCATAGCGGCGAGTGTGTAACTCCACAAGTGCGTAATTGCTTTACAACTCGAGAATTGTACTATACTTTTTCTACGACTATACTATATTTTCTTCCGGATAGTGCAGATATTGTATATTATGGCACAAATAACGAATACTTATATATACACGTCTCGCGTCACTAAACCAACTGCATGAAAAGTTACAAATCGAAATTCTTGTGTTTGTTTATTGATACATTGCATACTGAGACATTTTCCTCAATTCGAACTGAAATGGAGCTGTTTTTCATATCTAAACAACTTTATTAATAGCAGAAAACACATTATGTAAAAATATGGAATTAACATTCATAATGGTTATTTATTGAAACAGTGCGAACGAGAGATTCTGTAATCGATATTAAAAACAATAAAAAAAAAGTTCGCCAACTGCGCTTTGAACCGCGGACCCCTGGCTTCGTAACCAGCAAGGCAGCGCTTCCAACAACTGAGCCATCACCAGTAATTGGTATTAGTAGATATTTTATAAATACCATTTCGAGGATTGATCTTTCCTAATTATTCCTGTTATTTAAAGAAGAAGGAATTCATCAATTCAATGTTGAGTATGTATATTATTTGAAAAATTACCTTCATGAATAAATATTCATCAACAGGAGCAATCTGCAGAAAATAATTGATCTGTTCAGCATCAAGTATTTTCGATTTTTTACTTCGGAAGTTCGGAATCCATCCGATTTCCTTCTGAGGAAATGGGATATGTTGCTATATTAATATTGTGATTGATATTCAGTGTTGATCGTAACATGGAATATATCGACCAGAGTGATGATGATTTCATCGAATTTGATAATTCTTGAAAATATACTAAAAGGATATGTTCCGAAAACGACACGGTATTATTTCTAATTCTCCAGTCCAGGAATTTTTGATGTGCTATTTCGTATCATTCACGAGACTTATCAGGTAGCAACTCATTTTTAGCCATTCTATCTTTTTGCAACATTTCTGGTGGTGTAGAAATAATCTGCTCATCGTCATAGCTACTGCCATTAATGAAATAGTTAATTTTGTTATTGACACATCGCCTAAGCTACAAAAACAAAGTCATCTATCAACATACCTATGAAAACCGTGCGATCGCTCTCTTTACGCACACGTGTGTAAGGAGAAGCTTACTGCCATTGTTTTGTGTACAATATTCATCACTTACAGTAGTAGTCGTAGGAAAAGCTTTTTACCAAAATCAAGATTCCACCTTTCATATGGATATACTTCTGAGTTGAGATATAGACGAATATTGTTAACATCAGCATGTTTGAATTTTGTTGCATCTTTTGATCTATCATTGAGATCGTTAGTGTGTTGAAATCCAATAATTATATATCGAGGGCGTTCGAGACTATTCGTTGTTTTTATTGCCCAAATATCTGAGGCAGTGTCTCGTAGTGATGGTAATTCATACAGATCCCACATTCGGTATGCTAACTTGACCTTAGCTGTGTTAGTTTTATTTATTCGATTGAGCAATTTGAGCTTCTGTCGATCTTCTGGCATGATGTGTTTGATTTTCTATTCTATCTTACTAATCTCCAAATCAGCATCAACCTCTCCAATATATGAGTTTTTGAATGTGCGAGCAATTATAAGTATGAGCTCTTGTTTTACATTCAGAATTCCTTTGGTGTAATCTTCAGCAAAGCCCATCAGGTACTTCAAATGTAATTTTCCACTAAAGATGTGACTTTGGGAGTCCAAAATATCTTGTGATTCTTGTTTGAGACCCCATCCAGTAGTTTGAAGCGATGTCATATGCGTTTGTCCATATGAAATCATAGTTTTCATTGTAGTAGTTATACCAGGCTTTCGAATTACAGCTACTTGTTCACCTCCCATTTCATAACGAATCTCATCAAAGAGGAATGCCAGTGCATTATTAGATAAATAACAAACTTTGGTAGAATCAGTAGGAGTGAATTTACCTTCGATATATATGAAACTTTCTGCGATGTCCAGTATCAAATCTTGGAAGTTGATAGGAATTCGAATTTCGTCTGAATTTTTATAATATGGTGAACCATATGGCTTGTATGTGTGTTCATGGAGACTAATTAATGAGTGATCCAGAATTGGCTCATCAAAAACATTCAATTTTTCACTAGTAGTATGGGCCACCATGTTGTTAGTATTTTTTTCGTAATTTCAGTCCAACAATATTCTTGAGAAAATTTCGATCGTCCGCTGATAGCTTATATCTTGACTGCTCGGGATGACGACGTGAAATGAACTTGGAATTGCTCTTGCTCTTCCTTATATGTGTTTGGAAATCTGATGACATCCTATCAGAACGTCTGAATGAAAATCCCATCGTTGATAACTCACGATAATTTCCTTAGTTCCAATTTCAATATTATTTTCTCTCCTCGGAAATCTATTAAGGCACCGTTATCATCCAAGATACTCAGAGTGATGTTGTCAATGAACTGACATCCTTCAGGTCTCACCGGCATATAAATGATATTCTGCGGCTCCTTAGATAATTTGTACCCTGGTTCTACATCTATGTCGAATTCGAATAAAGTATGTGCTTCTTCACCATTGAAATATGCTCCAGACGTAATATTGCAATCGACTCGAATAATTCTTACTCGCATGATGTTCACGGGTAATGTCGATTCATGTCGTTTATTTGCTTCCAAGCACAGAGCTTCGAATCCTAAAATAGATGCCATGGAATTCTCATGTGTTAAATCAATCTCAAATTTAGACTGAATTTCGCATTTCAAAGTATTATTGTTAGCATGTAATGAAAATATCGAATGTATATCATTAATCGATGTATTCATTTTAATTTTCATTATATTTTTAATAGCTCTATTGATTTCATCGATCTCGTAGACTCCTGGAGGGATTGATATAGTAACAGGTGGATCATCTGCCTTTATTCTGTAACTGATTATATTATTTGTCTCGTCTACATTGAAAATGGAATTGTATGAGTAAAATCCATGCAATCCCAATCCATAACGACTGTTCACATCTAATTCGATTGGTGGGAAGAAGTTTGCACTCAATACACTCGTTTCTCCACTTAATGTGAATGTTCTCGACATGACTGATGACATTGAACTGATGAGCAAATTCTTCATCATCTCATTTCATTGACCACATATTATGACGTCAATCATCATACATGAATCAAGACACTTCTTCAATTCCTAAAAATATATCAGAATAAATTATCAAGTGATGAAGTTAATATATGAGGGAAATTGGAAGTTTAATAAAGAAGAAAAAATACGTTGTGTAGTTTTGAGAATATTTATTACCCGATAATAACAATTAGGTAAATACAAATGGTTGATTCATGATATCGAAAAGGAAATATTACGTTATTTGATTTATTGTTGTTTGCAGCATGAAGAATTTTGCTTCTTCATTTCAGCAGGTTTGCACTCTATCTCATTATTAGCTCCTACGTTGATATCCCTCATATTACAATAGCAACAGAATATTCTTCTAGGTGTTGGTCCATCGTTAACATCATTGGTCACATTTTCATCATGATGTTCATCACAGTACTGATATTTCAAAATATCTATATCGTTTTGTAAATGTATAGGTAGCTTATCCCATACCATAATTATCTCATGTGGAGTACAAGCGATTATTACTTCTTTCGGCATATCAGTAAGCTCTTCTTTCGTCATTTTCAATAAGCTTCCTACTTTAGAAAAGGCTTTCAAGGAATGTCCCATACGTTTGATACTCTCGCGATCCATGAGTGATCTGATAATTCTATGTATCACTGATAGTGGACAGAAACTTCAAGCACAAATGTCCACACCAGACTGTATTGTATTTCTGTTTACGATCATAATTGTATAGTATTTTGAATTTTGCTGTTGAGCCACTATGAAAATATTGAACTAACTCCTTAGGTGGGGGTAAATCACCATAGCTATCGAAGTATTCGATTACCCTACCACGTTTCCTATATGCAACCCAGTGAGTGCCAGGGCCTCTGATTGTATCTAGATTTATGATGGCAGATTCGTCGCGAGATGGCCCAGAAGGAGGTAAACTGTCACGCATGAATACACCTCGAAAATTGGGAAGCTTTGCCTGTTGTGCAAAATTTTCAATATCGATATTGCTCAAAGGTCTCCGAGGTAGGGAGTCTATTAGTTTTTTGAATTCGGTGATTTTAGGAAGATACCTAGTCCTTTTCTATAGGGTTTCAAATAAACACCTTTGCCACTCTTTCCAATCGCAATGGCCTCCATGTTTCGATTGTGGCGATTTGCTTCAATGAGCTGTTCTCTACTTGATTTAGCTGCCTGAACAGCTTTAGTAATTCCTGCAGCTGCTCCTGCGATACTTCCTAGAGCAGATAAGCCTGCAAATATTGGTATAAGTGGGAGAATGCCTCCAACCTTGGGTATTGGAATTACGCGAGGAGTACGAATATTCTTCTTTCCTCCAGCAACTTTCAAATATTTTTGAGCAGCTGCTAAGGCAATAGTCGTCGCTTTCTTCATATTCTTTGCGAGTTTTGTATTTCCACCTGCTAGACGAAGAGCTCCTCGAACTTTGTGAACTATTCCCGATCCGAAAGCTATTTTTCGTGTTTTTTTTCCTCTACGTTTGAATTTCTTGACTTTACGACAACCCATGCCAAAACGTCGTTTTCCTTTCATTATATTGGTCACCAACCAAGCAGCACTCCTTTCTCCTACGCTCGCGTCTCTTGACTTTGCTCTTTCCCACGCTGCTAACTCTAATTGTTCATCTGCTTTATGTCTAGCTGCAAGATCGCTATGATTCTGAGAGTAAGCAATATCGTGTTTCTTACATGCGATATCCAACTGATTTATTCCAGGATCTCCTCTTGCTAATCGCTTCTGCAATTTGGTTCCAGGACCACAGTACTGATAACCACCAGGTATATGTAATTCGAATGGAAGTTTATTGATTAGTGTATTAATGAAACCTCTACCACTTTTAATCAGTTTAGGTGAAGTTATACGTCTGCACCGTTTGACTATCATCATATGAATGAGAAGTTTCTCACGTATCCACATTCATATATCATTCGACTACCAAACGATGCACATTGTTAAACAGAAGGAACACTTCGTTGTAGATAATTGGGATAGAAAAATTGGATATGGAAATGGAAAAGAGAATTTGTCAAGACATGGTAATTTATTACCTTCTACTGTCCGTGGCCTCATCATCGGTCCATCTAATTGCGGCAAAACAAATGTGATGATATCTTTGTTGACTCACCCTCATGGCCTGCGCTTTGCAAACGTATATTTATACTCCAAGTCACTTAATCAACCAAAGTATGAATATCTACATAATGTATTGGAACCGATAAGTGGACTGGGATTCTTTACATTCAGTAATAATACAGAGGTGATGGATCCATCGGAAGCCAAACCAGATTCCATATTCATTTTTGATGATGTGATAAGTGAAAATCAAGATGTTATCCGATCATATTTCAGTATGGGTCGTCATAGACAGGTGGACTGTTTCTACTTAGCACAAACATACTCAAGAATTCCAAAACAATTGATCCGCGACAACTCCAACTTCATAGTTATATTCAAGCAAGATGTGACAAATTTGCAACACATTTTTTCTGATCATGTTTCACCGGATGTGACTTTCAAAGAATTTCAGGATATGTGTGGAGAATGTTGGAGAGATAATCACGGCTTTCTTGTCATTGACAAAGACAGTGAGATATGTAATGGTCGCTATAGAAAAGGATTCGATAGCTTTATATATCCTTGAAAATAGCGAAGACCAGTCAATTGATTCCCAATCGTCACAGGAGTTGCACGTGCTGGGTAATGATGAAGATGAAAATGGATGAAAAAACAGAGAGTGACATGAAATTGAAACGACAATTGATCGAAGCGACGGATGCAGTAAGACAGAAATTCAATACTATCAAGAGTAATCGAACCGAAAATCTGATGTCTCTCGAGAAAATATATGAACCTATAACAAAACCGCTCAATGTAATATCTGCTGCAACCGTAGCAAAACCAAAAATCGAAAATTTGCCGTCGGTCACCGAAACAAGTATACCCGTCTCGAATAATACATCCTATATCCCATTATCAGCAAGTACACCGAAATATAACGACCGTAGTGATAATACCGAATTTTATTCGCCTTCATGGAGAACTAATATCGTACCCGATCCCACAGAATCACATCTCATGGATACGCCACCTTCGTCAACAATATCTTCAATGAATGATGATAATACCATTGAAGCCATTGAGGAGCAAGATCGAATAGCAAATGGACACATTGAAAATTTATTATCTGGGGACTCACGCTATGACAAAGCATATGGTGTTCATATAGATTCCAAAACAAAACGACTGAAGATTGGTAAAGCTGAAGTGAGTTTTCCTATAGGAAACATCATAATTCGAATAGGTAAAACACAGAAACAGTTTGCAGCTGATCCACAATTATATGATATGATATTCCTCAAGAAACCACCAGAAAATATTAGAGGTGAAAATATGAAATCATTTGCCGCTATAATGCAACTGACACGAGCACCATACAAAAACTACGATCTCAGGCAAGGGCTCAATACATCAAGTTCGAAGAAATATTATGAATTAATCAAACCATCAGTTCGTACTCCTTATGAAATGAGGAAAAAGAAAGGTGGAAAACTGAAGCAGTTTCTATCAAAAAAATTGTACACTACGTCGAAAAAGGAGTATGTATATTGGAATAGACCCAAAGAACTGGTGGATCGATTGAGATTATTATGGAGTTCGAAGATGGCTGGACATACTGGACATACCAACGAAATCATATCTATAATTGAAGAGTTGCGAGAATACCTTCTT